CTGCCTGCATCGTTGCTTGTAGTACAAAACTTATGCTCTCCACATGTTCTCGGCCTGGAATACGTTTCAGTGCCAACAAAGATCGGTTCTTCTTCGGGAAGAACACCCAGTCTATGTAAGTGGTATAATACGAGGGTATGGACGTGAGTATCTGACTGATAAAGAGACAGGTGACAACAGCGATGGTTCTTGATTTCGTTATCACGTTTTTTATCTTCAAGGGAATTGCAACGCAAAGGAATCTCTCAGCAGTTATGAAAACCGTAATGAAGCAAGTGATACGTGCAAATAAACAGTGAGGCCATGCTGCTGTTAGATACAAGATTTCAGAAAATGCAATGTTCGTATCTGAGTTGTCGAACAATGGGTTAGCGCACACTGTAAACCATAATATCGATATTAGGGTAAATATATCTGAAATAGCTATGCCAGACAAGCTAATATTCATTGTATTTTCGTATCCTTGAGCTGCGAATATCAGTAGATTAATTATATTAGAGCCGATACCAAAACAGGCCATGATTGTACATATTACAATATAATTGAGAACTCTGGATATTTCTCGTGCTTCTTTTCCAAGAATTTCGTTGAAAATCTTTTCTTCAGTCAGACATGACTCGTTGTTGATATTGCAGTAGAGCAAAGAGCTGATTCGTGTATCTTCCATTTTTACCTGATTTTGAAAGAGGAATCATATAAAATGTATTTTACTTTCGGAAAGATGTTCTGACTGCCTATGTCATCCCAGCCTGGAATGGTACAATTTTTAGAATGTAAACGTGGTCGATGTGAACTGAACACATTACCTACTAAAAGTCCAAACATTTGAACCTAGCAACGTATTTTTAATATGCATCTTTTATTTTACTACTACAAGGCGCCTGGATTGAACTGGAATCTATTGTGTACTAACTAGTAAATTATATAGCAGATAAGGTCGACAGTGTGATGACTGACTTACTGAATTTTTACCCCACCAGGACATCACACAAGCGATAAACACCAGGTGACACAAAGTGTCACCATGCGAATGAGGATCACCCGTGGAGAAGTCCCAGAAACCCCTTTCAGACGTAAGGCCATATCTATGGCTACGCCATATCTATGCCCCGGCTATATTCAGGGCCCCCGGCAGAAGCCATAGTCGGGCTTCAAAAAACAAATAAATTGTATCCCACATGAGGACGAATTTTAATAAATGGTTGCAACAGACACTTGATTAATCGAATACCGTTCAATTCAGAAAAGAAGAAGTCACCAATATATCACAATGACTTCAGCATGGAGTAATTTACTCTGAGTGTGTATATAAGTGTACAATACAATGTTTGTGTGCAATATAGACGTGTGTCTGCATGCAGTACAAGTGGGGTTTTTTTTTCAGTTAATGTGTGAGCGCGGGGAGCGCTCTTGATAGTTTTACTGGTTTGCAGTTACAGCTTGACATTAAATGCACATTAAATACAGGCTGTGGAAATATTGGTCCTGAAATTATGAAAGACGTTTCTTACAGCAAACAATCACTCGCTATCGTCATATCCTGTGATTCACATGCAGTCACACAGAACCATATTACAATGTTGCCTGAAAAGAACGAAAGGTACCAAAAACTTCCTGCTGAGGAAAAATATATTTAATAATCTATCAAATTACAAAATCGCACTAAATTAATTGTCAGCTATAACAATTCTGTTATTTACTCCAGTTACAATATAATAATTTTTCCCATTTTTAATTTTCATTTATCATTTTACAGAACAAAACTTGTCAGATGACCTAAATTTTTTTCATATTTCGTTAAAATCGTTAAAATCCTGACCAAACATTACGCCTAAAATTATCTTATTTATGATACGTTTTGTCCTTTAGATTTTTTTTTTTTTTTTTACATTAGGCATCAAAACAAATTCCCGTTTTATTTCTAAATTCTAACGGTCCATACTTTTGTACCGAAGTTACTGAATTATTTGCCATACAGTATAGATACATAAACAGAACTCGCTGGAGGCGAAAATACAGGAGCAAGATAATAGTTTATTTAGTTACGGGAGCAGCATAATGAGTATTCTAATGTTGTTGGGAAAGTTTTTTTTTTTTTTTGGAGTGTCCAATCTACACAGCTATTGCCGGGGGGAACGCATTGGCACAACTGTATCTTGCAGAAATGATCTATTAGCTTGACACTAATAGCCTTGTAAACAGGACTATGTGTTTACTTTGAAATTAATTACTGTCAGCAAGCCTGGCTTAATTTTCTAATTATAACAGAGAGCGCGTTGGATTGTTGCTTTTGGCAGTTTCACTGGTATATACAATTAGGCAAATCTGTGAAAGTCATTTAAATTATGGCTAGCCGGAGTAACATGGATGCCCGAAACCGAGGCTTGGATTGCCAGTCGCAGCCAAGAGAACAGAATGTTCATGAAAAACAATTAATTGCTGCTTGAACCTAGTCAGGATAATTGTTACTCGAATCACTAATGATAGTCATTTACTGGAGCGTAAAATACCCGTGTTTCGAGTCGCACTTATTAATTTTGAAAAAGCTTATGTTGCTTTGATCAGCAAGTTTGAGTATGCGTATGTTGCCACAATCACTGTTTGTTTGAAATCACGTGCAGTTTACAGTATGCATATGTTGCTTTAAGTCGAAGATTGTTATAAAAACCTTTTTTTTTTTTTTTAGGTTTTAGTAACGTCTATTTCCTCTGCCATAAATTGTATTAAATCATCATTTAACTATAGTTGTTAGTGAACATCTATTGCCTCACTCAGAGAGTATGTGAATCGCTTTATTTAAACATTTAGTAAGCATATGTTACCTCAGCCTGAGATTGTATGAAATCACGTAATTATAGTTTTAAGTAAACTTTTCTGCCTCGCCAGAAATTGTGTTAAATTACATAGTTTTAGCTTTTAGTCTATAGCCCCAATCAGAGATTGTGTGAAATCACTTTCATGAGGTTAGTAAATTGCCTCAGCCAGAGCTCGTATGAAATAACTTATAAAAATTGTTTAATAAATGTCTTTTGTCTCAGTCAGAGATTGTATGAAATCATTGATTAATGTTGTTAATAAATGCATGAAATTACTTAGTATAGTTTTTAGTAAATATATATTGCATCAGCCAGAGATTGTATGGAATTGCTTAATATATTTTTAGTGAAATTCTATTGCCTCAGCCAGAGATTAAATGAAATCACTTATTATAGTTTTCAGTAAACATATATTGCATCAGTCAGAGATTAAATGAAATTACTTAAATATAGTTTAAACAGCTGTAACCTCATTTGGTGTTTTGTTTTGAATCACACATTACAGTTGTTGGTGAGAGTTTATGTTCAAATCCTTTTAAGGGCAGATATGTATTTTTTTTTTAATTGACCTGGTCTTCAATGTTTAGACTAAATTGTGCACCAGGAGGTATTTTTGGATGCACGTTAGACCGGCGGCATATTGACTGCATCACACAGTGAGTAAAATTAGCGGACTGAATGGACTCGAGAGCTTAGAAACAAATAATAAGACTGGATAAAAGAGGGTTAGGGAGAGGCATTCAGGAAAATACTTAGTTAGCTTTACCATATGGAGGGGACGAGAGGAGAACACTGACCTGATCAGTGATTGTGGAAATCGTGTGAGGTAGTGACAGTCTAGAGCTTATTGGCAAGGCACTTAATGATGTGTTGCTTTTACTTTTACCTCTTCTTCTTCTTCTTTTTCGTCTTCTTCTTTTTCTTCTCATTCTTCTTCCTCTTCTTCTTCTTCTTCTTCTTCTTCTTCTTCTTCTTCTTCTTCTTCTTCTTCTTCTTCTTCTTCTTCTTCTTCTTCTTCTTCTTCTTCTTCTTCTTCTTCTTCTTCTTCTTCTTCTTCTTCTTTGTCTTTGTCTTTTTCTTCTTCTTCTTCTTCCTCCTCCTCCTCTTCTTCTTCTTCTTCTTCTTCTTCTTCTTCTTCTTCTTCTTCTTCTTCTTCTTCTTCTTCTTCTTCTTCTTCTTCTTCTTCTTCTTCTTCTTTCTTCTTTGTCTTTGTCTTTTTCTTCTTCTTCTTCTTCTTCCTCCTCCTCCTCTTCTTCTTCTTCTTCTTCTTCTTCTTCTTCTTCTTCTTCTTCTTCTTCTTCTTCTTCTTCTTCTTCTTCTTCTTCTTCTTCTTCTTCTTCTTCTTCTTCTTCTTCTTCTTCTTCTTCTTCTTCTTTGTCTTTGTCTTTTTCTTCTTCTTCTTCTTCCTCCTCCTCTTCTTCTTCTTCTTCTTCTTCTTCTTCTTCTTCTTCTTCTTCTTCTTCTTCTTCTTCTTCTTCTTCTTCTTCTTCTTCTTCTTCTTCTTCTTCTTCTTCTTCTTCTTCTTCTTCTTCTTCTTCTTCTTCTTCTTCTTCTTCTTCTTCTTCTTCTTTGTCTTTGTCTTTTTCTTCTTCTTCTTCTTCCTCCTCCTCTTCTTCTTCTTCTTCTTCTTCTTCTTCTTCTTCTTCTTTTTCTTCTTCTTCTTCTTCTTCTTCTTCTTCTTCTTCTTCTTCTTCTTCTTCTTCTTCTTCTTCTTCTTCTTCTTCTTCTTCTTCTTCTTCTTCTGCTTCTTCTGCTGCTGCTGCTGCTGCTTTATTATTACTGTTACTATTATAAAAGTTGGGTCTGTGTAGTGAACTGGTCAAGTCGTTTGCTTCGCGCCCTGAAGGTCGTTTGTTCGTTCCACGGACGGGTCGTTCAGTTTTTAACAGATTCCTTGGGATTGTCGCTGGAGGTACTGAGTTTGTGTGTGTGTGTGTGTGTGTGTGTGTGTGTGTGTGTGTGTGTGTGTGTGCGTGCGTGTGTGTGTGTGTGTGCGTGCGTGTGTGTGTGGGGGGGGGGGAGCGACGCTCTTGTTAGTCGTTCTGTGGAGAGAGACCGAGTTATATGGGATAACCCGGGGCAAAGAAGTACATGCTCTCGTCTGTATCTGTAACTGTATAATTGTGATGAGCATTATCAGTGTACATAGCCGTATATACAGCGTTTTTTTTTTAATCCTGACAGCAAATGCAACAAAAGAATGTTTTGAAAACGGGACATGGGCTACAGCAGAATACGGGACCTGTATGGTAGAAAATATTCGCAAGTTGGACCCTTTTGACAATGTGGTAAGTTACTGGTGCAAAATCTACACTACTTTGCTGATGGTCTGTCTTCTTCCTTGTATGTGCATTGATGCGTTTGTGAAGAAGTGTTTTTGTTTATTATTGCTGCTAAAGTTAGTCAGCTGTGTATCCTTTACAGGAGATTGTAGAACCAACCCCATCATTTTTCGGCTGTCATGTTTTTTCTAGGCACATTAACGACCAGTAGTCTGCCATTGCTTTCTAGGCGGTCGGCTTCTCGATACCACTGTCAAAACCAAAGCAAGGCTGGTAGAGTAATTTTCACATTTCGGAACTATTCACATTCAAAAACTGTTTTCAGTACTTTTTGGCAAAATTAAAATACTCAAAATTTTAAAACAATAAATGGTGGCCGAAAGGGCGTTGTGTTTGGAAGCTCGCTCTCCTTCGAGATACGCCTAGCCAGATCAAAGGGAGACAGAACAAACAGGAAACACCAAGAATGAAGAAGGAAGACATGCACCAGTGACAACAGGACGAGCGGTTTGATTCGGATGGAAGCATTAAGCCAGAAATGGCACAAACACCAGTATTCAGTCACGAAAGTGACGCAAATAACCCAGACCACAAATATAGGCGGAGACTGTTAGCAGCCTAGGCTAGCTAGCAGCAGTCTGAACGTGGTCGAGCTTTTCTTTTTTTTCTCAAAAGGACGTGGACTTGGAAGGCTGGCAGCTGGAATCGAACCAGGCACCCTGGCATTACGAAGCGATTTCGCAATGCTTAAGCCACAAAATTAATGTGACTGGCAGTTGTAATATTTTTTGACGTTAGGGCTAATCAGTTTGGTTTACTGTGATAATGTGGCCTGGACGGGGGGGGGGTGATTTTTATAAAAGAGGGGTGGAGGGGGGGCAATAGATGTGTATATGTCTCTTCGTGTGTGTGTAAATGTTCGAAGGCAAGTGTATATGCAGTATGGCATGGCTAACTTAACGAGTAGGATGCGCGTATCCCCGCCTTGACAGTATGGTAGAATGCCACATAAATCTCTCGTAATGAAAAATGTGTGTGTGTGTATGCGGAAAGTATGTATCCGTCTTTGAAAATGTACAATTGGTTGTGTGCGTGTATGTGTGTGTGTGTGTTTAAGTGTGTGTGTGAGAGAGAGAGAGCGAAAGAGAGAGAGAGAGAGAGAGAGAGAGAGAGAGAGAGAGAGAGAGAGAGAGAGAGAGAGAGAGAGCTTCTGACTAAGTTGTTATATTCGTATTGTGGAGAGAAACAAAAGAAGTATTTGTCTTCAGCTTATGAGCTGATTTATAGAAAAAGAGTGACAATCTGTGTGTTTTTGCTTGTGTGTGTGTCAGTGTGTTTTAGAAAAAGTGTATTTATGTGTATGTTTGTGTGTGTTTTAATGAGATGCAGACAACCTGACGGACAGACGGTCGGACAGCGAGATAAACATACATTCAGAGAAGTCACTAGTATAAAAATGTGGTAATATATACGCGGCAACTTATAATAAATGCTGCCTACTTGTATATTCTATGTAGTTTTGTTTCGGATTATACTCTACGACCCGTTACCATCTGTTAAAAAACGACACCTTATGTATAACTTCTTCTTCTTCTTCTTTGTATTCACCAGCTGTAAACTGTAGTGGAAAGTTCTGGTTGTTCGTTCACTTCTGGACTGCAGACCTATTCCAGAACCTGGGTGATGCGTGTGCATCCGTTTGACATATCTGACTCATTTGTGTGCAGACTTTTGGTTCCTTGCCTCTCAGGCCGATGCACTATGACTTCGAAGGAAGCTCCCAGTTAGTCGACTCTTACGCCATGCTTGTAGACAAGCATTGGGTCTATTCTTGTTTTCCCTATAACAGGACACCGGAACCCACACGGATTTATATATGTATAACTCATTTAACAAGCAGCTCATCTATTGCAAATAAGCGTAGTACGTACTTTTTAAACACTGTATTTCAGTATTCAACAGAGACTTTGAGCATCAGAATCATATATGATGTTGGCTATACGATTACCACCGTTGTTCTGGTTGTTGCCCTGGCCATCTTCATTCATCTGAAGTAAGTATGCTTCTAGTATAGTCTCCAGTGAGCTGCGATGTTTTATTAGTAAAAATCACAACACACTGTGTCCTTGTATGTTCTGGCAGAGCATACTGAAAGGCAAATGACATAAATTGCCAGGTGGCGTTAGTGGTGAGGCATCAAAATATCAACAGACACACAAAAATACACCTGCAAAGTGCCTAGTTCGTATCAACGTCGTGCTGTCAGTGTCGCAACATGGATAGTCCTTGAAAAACAAAAGCACCAATAACAACACCAAAAATCACAACACGTGATATAAGATGTATTTTTTTTTTTAATACGGCAGAAACAGCTAGAAGTGACAGAGTTAACAATAATAAACTAAGAACACTGGTAGGCACATTAACAGTAAAAGATTTTGTAGAATATCAAAGATAATTTCATTCCTGTTGTAGTTTGTTTCTAGTGAACTCCAGTGAGCAATGCTCACCAACCATAGGATGATATCTTACAGTTAACCTACCAAATGGCTTAACAGCTTGGCCACGGAGACTAATGTCTATGATAATATAATATTAGATTGTTTATTGTCAATTGATGTTGTTTGTAAAGTGACTAGAAAATAAAAATTGTATCTATTTAAAATTACAGAAGTTTAAGATGTCTACGGAATTCCATACATTGTAACTTGTTCCTGGCTTTCATCCTCTCGAACATCACCTGGCTTGTCGTCCACAACACCCTCAACACAGTGTACAGCAGCTCTCCCGAGGTAACAGATCACAATAACTGATAATAGCAGATATATAGTGAAACTGTGATTACATCTTCTTTTTATTCGTCTTTACGTCCTCTTTTTCCGCTTCGGGTGTCGAGGGAGATATAAGGTCGTGCTTCGAGCTCTTCTGGCTTCTTCGTCCATAGACACATCGTGATGCTTTTTATTTTCCTTACCAACTCACGCCAAGTCTTTCTATCCTTTGCTATCGCATGCAGCTCTCTCCATGTCCTCCCCATCTTGTTAACTTCATTCTCCAGCTGCCTTCTCCATAAACAAATGTTGAACATAAAGTGGGATGAATTCAAAAGGGATACAGAAATAACAGAAATGTCTTGGCTACCACTAGAAACAACAGTTATAAGATAAAGAAGGTTTCACTTTAATGAGCACATCCTGAGACGGAACGACCAAAGAATCACCAAACAGGCTCTAACAAGCCTCGCACAAAGTATGACAACCGCAACTCCATCTGTGATTCCAGTAGAAAATGCACTCATAACAAAGACGACCGTAAATGAACACATAAACTTTAGAGACTAGGGAAACCACTTTATCACTTCGACGTAGAAATCTCCTGGGAGTAAAAAATAAATAAGTAAGCAAAGCCATGCTCCATTGCCACTTTGTGTATATGGTGCCAGAATTAAATTTTAATAGACCAGTCGTCAGCCCATGAGTGACGTACGATGTTACATATAAATAGTAACGAATTATTTTAAGTTCACTATGTCTCTTCTTTTTTTTCTTTCTACTCCTGGAATGTCACAGGAAGAAATTGAAATCTCTGGAACGTGCCTTTCTTTTTTACTTCGTATAGAGTACTTTTCAGTGTCTCTGATATTTCTTTGGTTCCATGTTCTGCGTGATCGACCTCTGGTTATGTTACAGCTGTATATGTGTAACAATGCTCTCTATGGCGCCCTGTATGATGCCAGTCTTGTTGTTACACGGCAAAACCATTTGATTTGTTTTCTACCTACACAGTTCTTTATTGGTTCTGCCCCAACTCTGCTCCTGATATCATCATTCCTAAGTCTGTCTTTCCTCGTTACAGCTAGCATGGTATGCACACATTTAATTTCTTTCGTTAGTATTTTCATTCTGTCTTTCGAATGCAGTTTTCATGTTTGACATTGATAGAATAGCATTAGTAAGAACATTGTGTTGAGCAGTGTTCTTTTGGTATTCATATACACATGCCTGCATTTCAAAATTGGTGCCACTTGGCCGAAAACTAAGTTAGCTTTATTGCATCTTTGCTGTATGTTGTATCTAACATTATTGTTCACAGTGGATCTGCAAGCTGTTAATGGCAGCCACAACATACTTCCATACGTGTCCCTTTTACTGGATGTTTGTGGAGGGGCTTTACTTATTCACTATTGTGGTGTGGGCTTTCTCGACTCAGAAGCTGGTCTGTGGTTTCTACTTGGCTCGGTGGGGTTTTAAATCATTTTTGTGATAGTTTAGGGGTTTGTTACAAAAGCATCTCAGTAAATTTTAGTGTGGGGCCCGGGGGGGGAGTAGTTTTTAGTAGAGGTCTTTTCGATATTATGGGTTTGACAGGTTTTGGGTAGTTTAAATAGTGTGTTCTATCGAATTTTGTGTCGTGAAAAGGGTTTTGGGGTTTTGTTTCAGTAGGGGGTTCAATATTATGGTGGGGAAAGATTAGGGAGTTTTAGTAGGATGTTTTATAATATATGGGTTTTGAAAGGTTTGGGTTAGTTTCAAAAGTGTTCCCATAAAATTAGGTGTTGTGACAGGTTAGGGGAGTTTTAGTTTGGGGTTTTCCCTTAAATTTTGGGTGACAAAGGGTTTGGGTAGTTTCAGTAGTTTGCCTA